CATGCATGCTGTATATATATCCCTATATAGAATATATGTTATCTTAATGTTGACTCTGATGTTGATGTTTGTTTTTTATATTTTTTGTGAAAAATCTTTGCTTTTCTGGTGTGCACTTTATTAAGTCTGAAATCTCAGAATTTTTTTTCCATTATATGTAGTATCAAGTGTTCTCACCACAAGGCTAAGTATACTACAAGAAAAAACTTTTCCAAAAATGTTAAAATACAAGTTTGATTTTTCTATTTCTTGTTTGTCTTAAATTGTATTATATATATACGAGCTTCAAATTTAATGGATTTGTGATCTTTTATATATAAGGTTCAACTTTTTTGTACAAATGAAAACTTTTATCATTTTCGGTGGAAACCTTTGCTTTATGAAAAATATGTTATTCATGTACAACTGCTATAATCATGATAATGCTCTATACAGAAAATAAATTTTACTCCATACGAGTTAGTCTTTGTTCTTGTCACCTTTTGAATAGGTGTCTTCTATTAGTTATGCCATGAAGACCCCTGTTGTGATGTTGTCCTCTGAAAGAGGGAGATAACCCTGGAATTAACTCTAGTTTGTCGAAAAAAATCACTTGAGAAAGTGATTTAAAAAATCACTTGTACAAGTAACTCCCCTGACTTCTCAATGATTTCTAAAACTTTTCGCGGAGCATTTGGATTATTTACATGTAAATAGTTAAAATAATCTATATCAGGGTTCGAAACAAGATTAAAATCACCACATATCATATAGCTATCATTACCAAAATCATCTATAACTGACATAATTTGATCATAAAAAATTGGATTATCTATGTTTGGTCCATAAATAGTTACAAGTGTAAAATGTAAAGTATCAACAACTAAGTCTAATACTAAATAATTGCCACCAACATCTTTTTTTTTCTTTTAGGACCTTAAACTCAAAGTTGTTATTAAACATAACTGCTATACCTCTTGAATTTGAACTATATGATGAAAAAAAACTATCATATCCCCACATAGCTCTTATATTATTTTCATTTTCACATAAGAAATGAGTATCTTGTAAACAGTAAATATTGTGATTCTTTGATCTTAAATAGTTAAAAAAATCTCTTCTTTTAACTTTATCTCCCAAACCTTGACAATTAACAGTTAATACCTTTAGGGTTCACATGATATGATGTCGATAAATACACTAGCACATAACATGACCGTAAAAAAATGTAATAGTAATATCTGATTATTCTCCATATGTATAAAAAATACTAAAGAAAAACATTTAACCAACATATAGAAGCATAAAAAATGATAAACAGAAAACTCACTATTAACTAAACCAAAACAAAATGTAATGGAATGATATTGCAGAAATGCAATAATTAATAAAAAGAATAAAGGACTGGAAAGAAAAAGATAGAGATAAAAACAAAAATTTAGCATCAAGATGGCAGACATTTTTTATTAAATTAATGTCAAAACAATAGTTTTTTGCAGTATAATTGTTCTTTCAATTTTATACATCCTGTATATGATTCATCAGTTATATCATAGTCAACCATTTTACAAAGTGGAGACAACTTTTATAATATTAAGATTTGTCCCATGAAAATAAGAAAAACATTTAAAAAAAAAAAAAAAAAAAAAAAAAAATCAAAATTCATTAAGATATAATGTACATGTAACATTGAAAGTCAAGTACTAAGTTAACTTCTTATTTCCTTTGTCTCAATCTAAGAAAAATGTCATCAAATATATTGAACTTCAGCTGTAGACCATCAGATATCCTTCCATATACACCACAGTTGAAGTACCATACGTCGCTGAACCATTCAGTCTCATTTAGTCTTTTCATCAGCTCAATTTTTCTTTTGGAAATGTCATCATAAAATCTCACATTATCCTGTAAATTTTTCTTTTCTCGCATCACTCTTTGTTTAATGTCACTTTTCAATAATCTCAGAATGAGAGGCTTTGGTCCTAGTTTGTCAGATGGAATTCTATGGATGGCGACAACATCTCTTTCTTCAAGTTCTACATTCATGTCCCTTTTCACTTTACTTATAAAGTCCGCACGCATATCTTGTCGCTCTCGCCATGGAAAGTTTATAACTCTTATGTTGTTTTTGCGAGAATATTGTTCATTATAGTTGCTGCTGGTAATCACTTCTCTTGTCAGTCTTTCATTTTGGTGTAATTCTTTCTTTGTTGCAGATAGGCCTTTCATAGCTACCTCAGCTTTCTCCCTCAAGTTCTCATTTTCAATTGATAATGCATCTATTTTCTCTTGCATTTCCCTTATAACTTCTGACACTTTTTCATCAATTTTTGTCTCTAATGATGAAGTAAATTCTTGAAATAAATTCTTCACAATAGAAGTTACAATGATTTCCAGATCATTTGACTTAACAAGGTCTTTTGTTGCATTTTCAAGGTATAAATTTTTTATTGTATTTCCTTGTACGTCAAGAAACATAGACACTTTGGATAAAATGGAACATAGCATGGGTAAAATGCATTTTTTTTGCTTTTGAAGAAAATATGACAGATACAAAGAACACTTAAATGGCATTTTTAAGCCACTCATTAATCATGTTAATATATGTTGAAAAGCAAAAATATTCGTTGATGAAAGATTTAGCAAAAAATTACAGGTGAGTGATTCAGGCTCTTGAGAGCCTCTTGTTCATATCCAGTAGGTTAACTTCAACATTTAAAAAAAACAGTGATTTATGTATTAGATTTGTTCTTTCATAGTCAGTTATTACTATTTACCTTCCAGTGCACGTTTGTTTACCTTCTTTCGTCATGGTTTTCCCCTCGCACTTGCACATTTTTTCACTTGCGCTGTGCGATTGTCCAAGTTCTAACGAGAGGTAATGAAGTTAAGGTCACTGCATACGGAAAAATATCGGTGAATTGGTTACAGGAAGACAATAATTCAATATCAGTACATTTATTAAGATTTCAATGATATACAGTTTTTTTTAAAGAAAGTTAAAGGGGCATTAGCTGTCAAATTCATGTTCACCGATTTGACTCAAAGTCTCATATTTGATTTATATCAAATTAAAATGTATATCCAAATAACAAAAAGTCTAAAATAAACAATTAATGGAGTGTTGCAGAGACATATATATATGTCTCTGAGTGTTGTCTTATTGGCACTCATACTACATCTTCTTATTTCTAATTAACAATGCATGGATAAGATAATGTGTATCAACATTTCATGTGTATTTTAGTCTAGACGCCATCTACTTAACCATCAAGGTCAGGGGCGGATACAGCCATTTTTAAAAAGGGGGAGGGTTCCAACCCAGGATAAAGGAGGGGATTCCAACGGGGATTCTAACCATATGTTCCCATTCAAAAGCATTGATCGTCAAAAATGGAGGTTTTTAATAGGTCTGTTTGATTTCATATTATAGGTTAAAAAAAAATGTTAAATATCGTTGATCGCATTAGTTAACCAAATGGGTTACACTTGTTGCACTTTCAATGTTGACATTATTTTCCTTTTAATAGTTGAGCACGCCCAGTTCGTGCGTAACCGATCTCTACCTAAGGGGTTAAATTGAAGTTCACATGAATCCGTCAGATCCAATGAGGTTGGAAGTGAATAATTCATCAGCGATGTTTCTTAGCTTATCAGGGGCGGATCCAGCCATTTATAAAAGGGGGTTCCAACTATATGTCCCCATTCAAATGCACTGATCGTCAAAAAAAGGGGGGTCCCCCCCCCCCTCCCCCCCCCCCCTGGATCCGCCACTGCTTATTTTATCTATATTGAACCAAACTGGCTGCTAAAAGCAAATTATTATTTCACTATTTCACTTTCATTAATGATTGATCAAAAAAACAAAATCATATTGTAATTTTTTTTATATATATATATCTGGTATTTAATTCCCCTTTAAGGTACACTTGTTATATTGTAACACTAGAGTAAATAAAACTTATTCAACTTTTTTTTTTAAATTTGAAGTTTCATATGACTTTTAATGACTATTTCGTGGCCCTATCTCCTAGGTCATGGTCCAGCGACTCTCAATTAAAAAACAATTTAAACCAGTAACTATTAGTGATAGGTCAATGATATTTATGTTATTTTAAAATAACACTTTGCATCTGTGGGGGCATCATTTGTGTCTCCCAGACACAATAATATCTCAAAGAAAGTCCTACATTGACTTTGTTCATGTTGTTATAATACAGTAACTCTAGAGTGGAGTTCGGGGACATACCTTTGTCTAGTTTTTATATTGTTACTATCAGTACATATCAGTTTAAGGACTATTTTGAGGCCCTGCACCCTAGTTCATGGTCCAGTGACTGAATTTATTGGCAATGTTCAATGTTAAGTTTTCTACTTAAGTTAGTTTGATAGGGACTACTTGCGATAGATCAATTTTGTTTTAAGATGCATTACGATCCGAGCATATCAGTGTTACGACTATTTCGAGACCCTGTCCCCTAAGGTCCAGTGACTTTCAATTAATTACCAACTTTTGATGTTGAGTTTTCTGCTAAAGTTAGTTTGATAATCTTGAACTACATGTACTAATGACAGACAATGATATTTTCTATGAAGTTGCATTAATTTCAGTACATCTCAATTTGTCGACTATTTTGAGGTCCCTAGTTCATGGTCCAGCAACTTCGAATTTATTAGCAATGTTGCCATCCATCAGATTGGCATTTTCTGAAATTTTCTACAGATAGGCGAGATATTTCTCTGTGTCAACAGTTTATTAATTCTGTATGCATATAATGTTGCCATTTAGTACCATAAAGAATATTCCTTAAGAATAAAGTAGATTGGGGTATACATCAGTTAGGCAGTATATATATATATACTACTTGTATATATGTCATATATAGTATTAAAGTAGAATTACCTAAACATGCAGATACATGAATGTAAAGTATTTTACACCGAAACAACATAGACAGTTTATTTGTAATTCACAGAGAGGTATCGAAAGGTTTTAGTCTTTAGTCTTAAATTTGTTTACATTTTCCTTACAGAGTTGAGCAAGGACACAATTACTGGAGTTGAACCTTATTGGTAAGATGAATGTGTTGAGGATTTAGTGATAAATGGTACTGTACAGAGACAAATTAAACACAGGCTGGTGATAAACTTCATAAATGTGATGATTTTGCCAGAGAATTTAGTCGAGGTAATGCCTAAAAGAGACTTGAGAAAAATTACTGATAAAAAATGTCGTAAATGTGATGTTTGAGCTATAGAATTTAGTCAAGATAGTGAATTAAAGGGACACACGAGAAAACTTACTGGTGACAAATGTCATAAATTTAAATTTTGTGATAGATAATATACTAGTGGCAGTTATCTGAAGAGACACATGAGAACACATACTGGAGTGATGTATATGGTTAAATGTTTAGTCAAGTCAGTAATTCACTAAAAGTCATGAAAACACAAACAGGCAAGAAACCTCATGTCTGTGATGTATGTGGTAGAGGGTTTAGTCAGCATTGGTATTTACAGACTCACATGAGAACACATACAGGTGATAAACCTTATGACTGTGATGAATGTGGTAAAGGGTTTAATCAACAAGGTCATTTACAGAGTCACATGAAAACACATATGGGCGATAAACATCATGACTGTGGTGTATGTGGAAAAGGCTTCAGTCAGCCGGGTAGTTTAAAGATTCACATGAGAATACATTCAGGTGATAAACCTCATGATTGTGATGTGTGTGGTAAAAGGTATAGTCAGTTTGATAATTTACAGATTCACATGAGAATACATTCAGGTGATAAACCCCATCACTGTGATTTATGTGGTAAAGGATTTAGGAAGCTGGGTAATTCACAGATTCACATAAGAACACATACAGGGGATAAACCTCATGACTGTGATTTATGTGGGAAAAAGTTTAGTCATGTTCATAATTTACAGAGACACATGAGAACACATACAGATGATAAACCTCATGACTGTGATTTATCATGTTTATGTGGTAAAACGTTAAGCCATCTTGGTAATTTACAGAGACACATGAGAACACATACAGATGATAAACCTCATGAATGTAATGTATGTGGTAAAGGATTTAGTCACCTTGGTCATTTACATAGACACACAAAAACACATGATGGCGATAAATCTCATGAATGTGATGTATGTGATAAAAGGTTTAGTCAGCTTGGTAATTTACAGAGTCACATTAGAACACATACAGGTGATAAACCTTATGGCTGTGATGTATGTGGTAAAGGGTTTAGTCAGCCTGGTAATTTACAGAGACACACGAGAACACATACACATGATACAGGTGATAAACCGTATGACTGTGGTGTATGTGGTAAAGGGTTTAGTCAGCCTGGTAATTTACAGATTCACATGAGAACACACACACGTGATAAACCTCATCACTGTGATTTATGTGGTAAAGGGTTTAGTCAGCTTGGAAATTTACAGAGACACATGAGAACACATACAGGTGATAAACCTCATCACTGTGATTTATGTGGTAAAGGGTTTAGTCAGCTTGGAAATTTACAGAGACACATGAGAACACATATTGGAGATAAACCTCATAACTGCGATTAAAGTGGTAAAGGATTTAGTAATCTTAGTAATTTACACATAAGAACACATACAGGCGATAAACATCATATCGGTGATGTATGTGGTAAAGGGTTTTAAGGGTTTAGTCATCATGGGGATTTACAGGTTGACATGAAAACAAACAGGTGAAAAACATCATAGAAGTTTTTGTGGCAGATTTTTTTTCAAGTTATTATCATAAAGAGACGAACAAGTACACATACCTTATGTCTGTGATGGTTGTGGTACAGGGCTTAGTCGACATGGTCATTTACAGAGACACATAAGGACACATACAGGTGATAAAGCTCATGACTGTGACGTATGTGGTAAAGGGTTTAGTCATCTTATTAATTTACAGATTCATATGAAAATACATACAGGCGATAAACCTTATGTATATGATGTATGTGGTAAAGGGTTTAGTAATCTTAGTTAGTAATTAAAAGAGACACATTAGAACACATACAGGCGATAAACCCCATGACTGTGGTGTGTGTGGCAAAGGAGTTAATCAGCTTAGTAGTTAACAGATTCACATGAAAACACATACAAGCTATAAATCTTATGTAGGTAGTAAAAGGTTTAGTCGGCTTTGTAATTTTACAGAAACTAATTAAAAGACATACATCCAGTAAAACATCAGAAATGTTATGCATGTGTTGAAGATTTTATTGGAAATGATGACTTAAAGAGACACATTAGAATACAAACTGGGGTAAAACTCGTAAAATGGATTTTTGTTTTAAAGAATTTATTGGAATTAATCCATTAAAAATTGTGTATATGGAAGAAAATTAACATATATACCTGTATACTGGAGATAAACTTTATAAATGTGATGTATGTGGTGGAGTGTTTAGTTAGAGTGGTAAATTAGATAGACACATGAGAACACAACTGGTGGAAAACTTTATAAATGTGATGTATGAGGTAGAGGGTTTAGTGAGAGTGGTACTTTATATAAACACACATACAGTCAGGGCTACTACTTGTACAAGTAATCTTTATCTACTTGAAGAAGTAAAATAAATATACTTATATAAGTTAATTATAATGTTTGAATAATCTCCCCTTAATTTTCTCAAAAATTCACTTGTATAAGTAAATTTTTTTTACAATCCCACAAAAATTCTCAAGTTTTGAGATGTAAAAACATGCCTTTAATAATTATTCCCAGGTTAGCTCATAATTTTTTATTAGAGTTCAATGTTTCATCTCATTAATTCAACAAAGAAAGTGATTGCACAAAGATCTTAAGTATTTGCGCAAGGCCTTCAAAAATTGCTCCTTAGGGGCTTGTAAATGAGCAGTGTTCTGAAGATAACAGACAAATGAGATTTTCATTGTCCATGAAATTACACTTAAACGATTATTTAAGACATCTGCAAAGGACAGACAATTTAAAATTCTATTAGAGCAAAGAAGTCCTAAGAATTCAAGAAAAGAAGATAGGATGACTTTTTCACTTATATGAATGTAAAACTAAAAAAACACAATGATCGTTTCTCTATTTCCCAATGTAAATGAAATGAAACAAAAAACATTTTATATCACAATAAGAAGAGGAGAGAATCAACATTTTCCGGATCTACTTGGAGCCTAATGACCCCCCACGTAGATAAGTTGGATATCGCGGAAAGAAGGATTAACACGGCAACCAGAAAGGCATTAAAGCCGGGTTAATTTCGAGTGTTATCTTCAATCTAGATGTTTATAAATCATTTCAGTCGTTGATATAATAATTAAAGGTCGACTGAACATGAAATATATTATACAATTTAAAGCGCATTTCTGTTTATGCACGTGAACCCATCTAACGTTATTGATTGTTATTTCGCAGTTATATAAAGTAGCAAATTATCGTTCCTGAATAGGTGGCGCCGTGGTAGCCGATCCTGTTCCTAAACTTCCGGTTTCTGCACTGTGCAACTATACAGTTGCATTTTTAATTAACGATGCCAAGTACTTGTTGTTGTGTACCTGGATGTCATTTAAGAGGAGGACATGCATTTCCAAATGACTTAAAAAGAAGAAAAGTTGGATCAACGCCATGGCCCATACGCAGATTGGACGAGAACACGAAGAAATCGTGGAGTCCATCTCAATCAGTTGTTGTTTGCAAGGCACATTTTATTGAAAAAGACTACGTGCAGGAAACTTTTCATGGTAAAACTCTATTTTCTTTTTAAAATATATAGTTATATATGTAATCGCCATGCGAATAAACCAAAGTCTGTTTACAACCGCAATTATCGTTTTAGAATAAAAGGGGGTGGTTAATTCAAGACGTCATAATTTTTTGGATTACGATTCAATGTGATCTGTTTGAGATTTTTTGGTGCTTCTACAATTATAATGATTTCTTACAAGAGGTATATCATACTGAGAATTATTTTAGCAGTAATTACGCTAATGTAGTAATGACAGGAATGCATAAGCTATGCCTCATAGACTTTCTTGAAAAATATCAATGACAATGTTAACAGGAACAAAACAATGACATGCTCTCATCTATATTATAGTTATTTAGGTACAAACAATGTACGTTTGTTGCATAAGTCTCTCATTGTTTGTCCTTTGGATTTACATAACATACATTTTGATGTACATTGAATCAGGCTAACATAGTTTTATCCAGATTGTAATTAATAAATCTAGTTAATATTTTGCCAGGTAGTACAAAGTATGCATTGCTAATGGAAGTTCATTTAATTATCAAAAACTAATGTTTTATAACCTTTTTCAGGGCGCAAACCCACCATACAGAGACTTAATTCTACTGCCATTCCCAGCCTATTTTCCTGGACCAAGCAAGAGACTGAATCGTCCGCAAAAAGAAAAATCAGGGCAGTTTCCTGTGAAAACAAAAGAACTAAACTTGATGAATATTGTAGTAGAAATCTAGAGGAAAGTTTTGATTGTAAAGTTGGTTTTCCTGAAGAAGTCATTCATACTGCAGACAGGATTTATGACTGTCCACCACCAACTGCCGAGCTAATGTTGAGCTTCACAGATGGAATTACGCAAATACCATCAATGCCTATATTTTCAGCTATGAATTTTGGAATGAAGACATGTGACACAGCCATGCATATTTATACCGGTTTAGAGTTGTATACTAAATTTTTATTTGTTTTGACCACACTTGGTCCATCAGCACATTGTTTGAGATACATATATTTTCAAATTGATAGGGTGTCATTTGAAAATCAGTTTTTTTATGACTATGATGAAATTGAGGCATTATACAACCAACTTTGAACTGTCCAGATTCTAGATTGAAACTAGTGTTAAGAATGTTGTGTAAACATGGATTGTTTTTATTTCTAAACAGTGGCGTGATGCTAACACTTGACCATTTAGTGGTTTAGTCAGGTATTTTTCGCCATCCAACTTCATATTAAAGTTTCCTACAACTTGGATTATTATTGACAGCACAGAATATCCAGTGATAAAACATAAAGCTCCTAGAGCTCAGGGAACCTTTTCATTATATAAAAACAGAAACACTGAAAATACTTGTATGTTCGACACCTGGTGGTTTAGTCATCTATGTCTCTAATGCATATGTTGGTTGTACCAGTGACTGTGAAATAGTTGAAAGATGTAGAATAGTTCAATTATGTGATCCAGGTGACAGTGTGATGGCAGACAAAGGTTTAAATGTGCAAGATTTGTTTGCTCACTTTTTTCAAAAAAAGAAACAGAATTAGTTCCAAAACTCTTATACGGGATAGAAAAGTCTCCAATTAACACGTGCACATAGAGCTAATTATTGGACTTGACAAAACATACAAAATTCTAATAAATCCTATGAATGGAACTGAAACAAAACTTTCATCTGAAATAACATTTAGTTGTTTTATGTTGTGTAATTTTAGATTGTGCCAACATGACATGGCCAAAGGATGCATAAATAAAAGTGACGCAATGAAGTTTGTTCTGATATATATATATTTACAATTACATGCACATGTAAATTGTAATGCATATAAAAATAAGGAGATGTGGTATGATGTTCAGTGAGTTTATCGAACCAAAGTGCAAAAGAAATGGGTTAAGCAGTTACAGGTGTTACTGTCAACGTACAATCTCCAACAATGAGAAAAACTTGTACCGTGTAAAAAATTTCAGAGATCTTACAACTAAGTTTTGTTGTCTCACCTTGACTTTGGTGAATTGTTTATATCTGTTGATGTAAATATAAAAAAGAAGATGTGGTATGATTGCCAATGAGACAACTCTCCACAAGAGACCAAATGACACAGAAATTAACAGCTACATGTATAGGTCACAGTACGGCCTTCAACAATGAGCAAAGCACATACCGCACAGTGAGCTATATAAGGCCCCGAAATGACAATGTAAAACAATTCAAACAAGAAAACTAACGGCCTAATTTATGTACAAAAAATGAACGAATAACAAATATGCAACACATAAACAAACCACAACCACTGAATTACAGGCTCCTGACTTGGGACAGGCACATACATGTACATACAGAATGTGGCGGGGTTAAACATGTTAGCGGGATCCCAACCCACCTCCTAACCTGGGACAGTGGTGTAACAGTACAATATATAAGAACGAACTATAAAAATCAGTTGATTTATAGCTATTGATGTAATCTCCCTATTGATTTTGATAAATTTCAAATATAACATTGAGAAGAAATTGAACTTTATTTGTTTATAGTCTGGCAACAGATTTATTAAGTATTGCGCAACAGCAAGAAATCTTTAATTGAATATAAATTCAATTCATATAACCGATTTCAAGTTCTTTGACTACATTTATTCAGAAACTATAATATGTCAAATATTTAATTACAATCCCAATTCAGACCTGTATCAAGCTTGAATATTGTGTCCATTTTTGCCCCAACTGTTCAGGGTTGGACCTCTGCGGGTGTATCCAGCTGCGCTCAGCGAATCAGTTTATTTCTTAATTAAGAACTCCGTTTTGTCGAGCCTGCGAATTTTGTTGCAGAAAGCTCGACATAGGGATAGTGATCCGGCGGCGGCGTAAGCTAACTTCTTAAAAGCTTTATATTTTAGAACGTGGAAGGTCTGGATGCTTCATACTTTGTATATGGATGCCTCATGTTACGAAGTTTTCGTCAGTCACATGTCCAATGTCCTTGACCTCATTTTCATGGTTCAGTTACTACTTGAAAAAAGAGTTAAGATTTTTTGTAATGTTAAATTCTCTCTTATTATAAGTAATAGGATAACTATATTTGGTATGTGGGTACCTTGCAAGGTCCTCATGCCGGTCAGACAGTTTTCACTTGACCTCGACCTCATTTCATGGATCAGTGAACGAGGTTAAGTATTGGTGGTCAAGTCCATATCTCAGATACTATAGGCAATAGGTCTAGTATATTCAGTGTATGGAAGGACTGTAAGGTGTACATGTCCAACTGGCAGGTGTCATCTGACCTTGACCTCATTTTCATGGTTCAGTGGTTATAGTTAATTTTTTGTGTTTTGGTCTGTTTTTCTTATACTGTATGCAATAGGTCTACTATATTTGGTGTATGGAATGATTGTAAGGTGTACATGTCTAGCTGGCAGGTGTCATCTGACCTTGACCTCATTTTCATGGTTCAGTGGTCAAAGTTAAGTTTTTGAGTTTTGGTCTTTTTTCTAATACTATATGCAATAGTTCAACTATATTTGGTGTATGGAAATATTTTATGATCTATTTGTCAGTCACGCAGGTTTTTTTTACCTTGACCTCATTTTCAAGGTTCATTGCTCAGTTTTAAGTTTTTGTGTTTTGATCTGTTTTTCTTAAACTATAAGCAATAGGTCAACTATATTTGTTGTATGGAAGAATTGTTAGCTGTACATGCCTGCCTAGCATGGTTCATCTGACCTTGACCTCATTTTCTTGGTTCATTGGTCAATGTTTAGTTTACTTGGTTAATGTTAAGTTTATGTGACAGTTGTAATAAAGCTTTATATTTAG